CTGCGGATCCTCGGGTTAATGTAAGAGTTAACCCGGTGCTTGCCTTTCCCAGCGAGGTGTCTTCCTGTCCCGGAGCGGCGTGGCTCTCCAGCTCTGGACCCTTTCCGTCCCCCTGTTGGGTGCTTACCCACACGGTGTGTGATCATCCCGCCACCCTCTCCGTGCTCTCCACTGCTGCCTATCCCCGGCGTCCAAACCGGGGCATTTGGGTTCAAACCCATCGGCAGCTGTCTCCAAGTTGGCTTATCGCGATCTACCTCGATCTCGTGACCGCGGTAACTCCCGACCGCCAAGCTCAGGATCCTCTCCTATACGGTGCTAGGGACCGAATATCAGAAATTGTTGGGTGGTTTTTCGAGGGTTAACTGCACTTGCGGGCCTCGGCCTCCCCCGGGAAGGGGAGGAGGGGGGGAGGCGGAGAGAGTACAAGCTGCTAATCCATCCAAACGACACGTTCACATTGCACGTGGCACTATTTTAGGGTACATTTCGCCAGTAAAATCGGTTGCTGATAAAACTGCTAGCGCTGTCAATAGCGACCAAACCACGTTCAGACACAAGAGGGACGAGTTGAAATGAGCTATGAAAAAAGAGTCCACGAACACTACATTTACTCCTCAACAATGCTCGCAAGTCTTGGATTTATGCGCGAAATACCGTAATGTGTTTTCATCAATTAACTTCGAAGGAGCTCGGAAAATGCAAGATAGCCAAGGCAGACTTTCCGCTAGAACCAGGCACTAAACCAGTCGACCGTGCTCCCTATCGTGCTAATCATAGAGCACAAGAAGTTATCGACAAGTGTGTGGAACAAATGGAAGACGAGGAGATTATTATTGAATAGAGACCCACTTCGTGGGGATCTGCTGTTACCATCGTAGCAGAAGCTGATAGCACTCCTCGGTTCTGCGTTGACTACCGCTCTACAAATGACAAGAGTATATTTCGAAAATCTTGGCCCATGCCAGATATTGAATCCCATATTGATACCGTTAGAGGTGCAAAATTTATAACTGTCTGCGATATCCAGTCAGCCTACCACCAAATTGAAGTAGACGAAGCAGAACAAGAAAAGACCGCTTTTGTGACACCCAAAGGGAAACGGGTTTTCAAACGCCTTCCCTTCGGAATTGCGAATGCTCATTTTCTAATTGCCCGTATGATGTCTCTGGCATTCTCTCACCTCGGACCGCGCAGTGGACTTTTGTTGTATATGGACGACATTATTTGCTGCAGCTCAAATTGGGAGAGCCATCTAACCTTGTTACTATAAAGCATGCTCCAAGCACTCCAAGCGGCCGGTCTTACCTTGAAACCCTCCAAAGTACAATTTGGACCACAGGAAGTAAAATACCTGGGGCACATACTGTCTGCAAAAGTTATTCGCTTTGGGGAGGAAGTCGTAGAAAATCTATTATCGACTTGCCTGTACTCAATACAATCAAAGCACTTCGCTCAGTAATGGGAATGGTTAACTATGTTAGGAAATTTACACCTGACCTTTCTACGGTGATCGCACCACCTGCTCGAACTCGCACAAAAAAAGCATGTAAAATCGATCGCGAAACGTTGAATCCAGGAACATGGTAAGGTTTTTGCCGATATTTATCGTTT